ATGTTTCTATCTCTATCTCCCTCTCCCCTCCTCTCTCTCTAAAAATAAATAATAAAGAAAATTAAAAAAAAAAAAACGCAGTCATTGCCCTGGTCGGTTTGGCTCAGCGGTTGGAGCGTTGGCCTGAGGTCTGGAGAGACCCGGGTTCGGTTACCGCTAAGGGCAGGTGCCTCGGTTGCAGTTTGTCCCCAGCCCTGGTTGGGTCGTGTGGGTGGCAGCCACTCGATGTGTCCCTTTCACATCGATGCTTCTTTTTCTCTCCCTCCCACTCTATCTGAACAAAATATCGAAAAATGTCCTCAGGTGAGGATAAAAAAATAAAATAAAATAAAATGAAATGAAATAAAAACGCAGTCATTAAATATATATGTATGGCCTCTGTTAGCTGATAACTGTAATGCTGGAATGACATTCAGGAACACGCAGAGACACACTGACAAATGAAACAGGACAGAGCCCGGAAATGCACCCTCACATGTACTAATATTCGACCAGGGAGCCAAGAACACTGAACAGGGCGACGAGTCTCCTCCACAGAAGGTGATGGGAAAACCAGACAATTACAGACAGAAAATAAAACTGGACTCCTCTCTCACCCCACTCACCAAAATTAACGTACAGTGGGCGAAAGACTCAAACATTAGACCATGAACGCCTAGAAATGAACATGGGAAGAAGCTCCCCGACGTCGATCTTGGTGATGGTTTTGTCAGAACTGATAATACAGTGACCCGACTTTGTTTTAATATGTTTCTATTGATTTTTTAAGAGAGAGACAGAAAGGGAGAGAGAATCATTGATGTGAGAAACATCGATCAGCTGCCTCCTGCACGCCCCCTGCTGGAGATCGAGCCCACAACCCAGGCATGTGCCCTGACCAGGAATCGAACTGGGACCTCTCAGTCCACGGGATGACACGCCATCCACTGAGCCGCTGGCAGGGCAGTGGCCTTACTGTTTAAGTTTCGGGACCCTTCCCCTCACTGTGAGTAGAGAAGAGGGGTGAAAGAAGCCCAAACCAGCAGGTCTAAGTGACAAGAACAGGGCTTGTCTTTGTCCTCCCTGTCAAAACCAAGACTTTCAAACTATGTCACGAATTAGTACATGAGTAAAGGAACAAATTAACAAGTAAATAGGGACCAGCAACGACCTCCTAGTGCAGCCCCTGAAAAACCTGAGAATGGTCCACCCTCTAACCTAGGAAACAAGACGAGAAAGGTCCGTCTCCACAGGACCAGGCTGAACCACACTTGCATCAGGAACAGAATCAAGCGTACCCAGGAAAATCCATTGTCCTAGGAAGAAGCAAACTATGTTCTCGCCCTGCTACCCCCATACCCATCCTTCTGCCACCTGCCAACTCGGGAACCACAGTCCAAGTGTCCACGCTGCTGTTTATTTTCCAAGGTTCGGGCTTTCTGTAGCAGCAGAGGCTCTGCCACCACTCGCTGGTTCCCGGCCCTGGGCGCGTGGAGAGCTGCCCAGAGCCCACCTTCCTGCCAGCCAGGCTGTGACGGCTTCCCAGCTCTGCCCTCCCGCCGAAGTCCCCGCTGTCGGGCTCCAGGGCCCAGTTAACACAACGGCAGGTGAAGAAATGTCTCTAAGAATGGGCTGTCGCCTGGCTGGTGTGGCTCAGTGGATTGAGCATCATGCCATGGACTAAAAGGTCCTGGTTCAATTCCTGGTCAGGGCACATGCCCAGGTTTCAGGCTCCATCCCCAGTAAGGGGCGTGCAGGAGACAGCTGATTGGTGTTTCTCTCTCACATCGATGTTTCTATCTCTCTCCCCCTTCCTCTCTCTCTATAAAAAACAAAACAAAAATCAGTCAATAAAAAAACATATATATATATTTTTTTTTTTTAATCCTCATCCGAGGACATTTTTCCATTTTTTGTACAGACAGAGTGGGAGGGAGAGAGAGGAAGAGAGAGAGAGGGAAACATCGATGCGAAAGGGACACATCGAGTGGCTGCCACCCGCACGACCAACCATGGCCAGGGACAAACTGCAACCGAGGTACGTGCCCTTAGCGGGAACTGAACCCGGGTCTCTCTGGACCGCAGGTGGACGCTCTAACCGCTGAGCCAAACCGCCCAGGGCTAAAAAAACATATTTTTAAAAAAGGAAATGGGCTGTCAAAGTCCAGTGAAAATCCTAAAGAAAAGACAGACCAAGGAAACCCTACAAACAGTCCCTAGAGACACCACCAGGCCATGGTCGGTTGACATGAAACAGTTGGAAAAGGTATCGCCGACGGCAGACACTGAAGTTCCCTGTGTTGGCTGGACCACTCCAGGCCCGACAGGTGACTCCCTGCGTTCCTAGGTCACCTGAGCTGAGCTGTTGCAAGTGGACTGGACTCTTGAACACTTAAGCAGAACGTTTTTTTCCTTTTGGGGAGAAGGGAGATTACAGCTAATGTAGTGACAGATTTCTGCTGGGTCACATTGGCTGAAGCCTGAGAAATTGCATCTGTTTTGTTTCTTGACTATCTAATTATAGACTAAACATCACGTTGGCCGCTGAATGAGCCAAAACACTTATGAAGAAATCATTGAAATACCTCTGGCTCAGAAATGTTTTTTTCAAGCACCCTGTTGGAATGCATGCTAATTAACCATACAATTGGGGGAAAAAATATCATGGGACTTTTTGCTATTTCTAGTAGAGAGAAAATATCTGTTTTCCAAAGATAATCTAATTATACACCCTAATGTGTATTTTTTTTCCCAGTGTGTATTTTTTAAAATATGTTTTTATTGATTTTAGAGAGAGAGGAAGGGAGAGAGAGATACAAACATTGATGAGAGAGAAACATTGATCAGCTGCCTCCTGCACGCCCCTTACTGGGCATCGGGCTGAAACCTGGGCATGTGCCCTGACCGGGGATCGAACCGGTGACCTCTTGGTGCATGGGACAATGTTCAGTCCACTGAGCCTCACTGGCCAGACACTTGGTCTGTATTTCCTGAAAAACGTTTGGTTCTACTCCATCTCTTCCTTGTCTTCACTACACAGTGGAGGTCACGGTTTCTGTGAGGCAAACTCACCTCTCACCTCGAACCCTCCAGTGTGCATTCTGGGGTGACAGGCTGGGATGGACAGAGCACAAAGGAGGTGCAGGACAGAAAAACATTCCCTCTGACAGCTTCCAAAACTTTGTAAAAAAAAAAAAAAAAGAGATGTGCAGAGTGAAACATGCTTAAATTATTTTATCAGGGCACTTATGTGAAAAATAACTTTGTGGTTTAAACGTTAGGGTCATAACTTCTTTTACGTTATTCAGAAGTAACCTTTGGTACAGTTATTTTGTTTTCTCATAAATACTGACAAATTATTTTGCAGACAAGTAAGTCTGTAACAGAAGGATTGATCACCTACATGAATGTTAAGATGACTATTCAAGATTCAGAAGCTGGAAAAAACTCCCACTATCTGGGCACTCGGGATTCACTTATGAACACAAAACGAGGCAGGAAAGTGGCCTGTTTCCCTGTTGCTTCCTCCCCACGCACAACGAGGCCACCCTCCTCCTCCTCCACCGGCCTCTTCAAGATCGGAACTGCCCAGGAATGGCTGGTAAGAAAGATGTACATACTGGCCAATTAAGAAATCGCCCTTTTGGCCCTGGCCAGTTTGGCTCAGTGGCTGAGCGTCGGACCTGCGGACCAGAGAGTTCCGGGTTCGGTTCCTGCTAGGGGCACGTACCTCACACACACACACAAAAGCAATCGCCCTTTTGGCTCCTCTTACAGAGTTCCGGTGCAATTCTCCTACACACTGGAATACACAGCCTTTCTGCTGGGATATTGGGTGCGTTGCTAAAAAATCTCATGTTCTGCAAAATTTAATACTACAAATAACAAAGGCTTGGGGGGAAAAACTGGTTTGGGGCATTCCACGAAAAACATACGGGACTTCAAAATACAATCAAAAGTAGTCATTAATAATCTGGAGAGTTAACCTGGCCACCTCGGCAGGAGGCTCAAGAACACCTAGCGACTAACACGGCAGAAATCAGAAATACATACGAACAGGTAAGTGCGGTGGCGCTCTAATTAGAGCGAGACTGGCAGGCCCCAGAGCACAGAGAGAGCCACGCGAGGCCGTGACAGCCGCTGTCTGGGGAGCGGCCCCAGGGCCAGGGGATTGTTGAGACCACACACACACACACACACGCGCGCACACCCAGGGCCAGGTGACTGTTGAGACCACACACACACACACACACACCCAGGGCCAGGTGACTGTTGAGACCACACACACACACACCCAGGGCCAGGGGATTGTTGAGACCACACCACATACACACACACACACACACCCAGGCACCCAGGGCCATGTGACTGTTGAGACCACACACACACACACACACACACACCCAGGGCCAGGTAACTGTTGAGACCACACACACATACACACACACACCCAGGGCCAGGTGAGATCACACACACACACACACACACACACACACACCCAGGGCCAGGTGACTGTTGAGACCACACACACATATACACACACACCCAGGGCCAGGTGACTGTTGAGACCACACACACAGGGCCAGGTGATTGTTGAGACCCCCCCGCCACACACACACACACACAGGTACCCACAGTCACAACAGCTGAGCGGGGTTGTTTTCCTGCTCAGGTTCAAACCCCCTCCCCCACCCTCGTTCCCGTGGCCTAGGAAAATCCATAGAAATGACATCAAGTTGGCCTTGCTCACACTTCTGGCCACTGACCGATCACGCGTGAGCTAACATGCAGCATGGAACACGGCCCCGGCACTTCACGCTGTCCTCAGCGGAACAGGCCTGAGCAGGCTGAGTGTCCGCAGGGCTGTCAGCTGCCCCCGTGAGCAGAGCAGGTGAATCCGGGGTGAAGGCCTCCCAAGACAGGGCCTTCCCCATCCCATAACCAGGCCTATTAAAGAATGACAATTCCCAGGCCAAGACATGTCCCCAGAATCAAACCAACAGGCCAGGGCAGATACTCACATGTAATATGTTGGGTAGAGTCCTTCAAAATACCAGCAGTGCTTTTTGGCCTCTGTGCACTGAAAGAGAAGAGGGAGACCTGGTCACTGGGGGACAGGCTGCAGGGCGTGAGGGTTTCCCAGAAGGAAGCAGGAAGGAGAGGGGGCGGAGCTGAGGGTGAGCAGCAGGACCTCAGGAGGGACCGGTGACTGAGGGAGACTCACTCACCTGGACTTTTTCAAAAGGGAAAAGAAACACAAGAAAACAAACATTTCCCTATTATTTTTCTACTTTTCATATATCTAAACGCACCAAGTGCAACCCATACATGAAAGAGGCAAACTAAAGACAATCCATCTTTAAACGCACATGGTATTCAGATATCTAAAGAATGCTAGCCCGCTGGTGTGGCTCAGTGGGTGTGAGCGTCAACCTCATGCACCAAGAGGTCGCTGGTTCGATTCCCGGTCAGGGCACATGCCCAGGTTGTGGGCCTGATCCCCAGTGGGGGGCATGCAGGAGGCGGCCAATTGATGTTCTCTCTCATTGATGTTTCTATCTCTCTCTCCCTCTTGCTCTAAAATCAATAAATAAAAAACACATTTTTTAAAAAAGAAAGAAAGACCCCAGGAGCCCCCTGTGCTTCCCAAGGAAGTCACACACTTGACATTCTGGAGAGGCGAACAGAGCAGGAATGAAGCCACCTGGTGGCCCGACTATCTCACACAAGTGACAGCAACCCAAACACCACCGCTGTGAAAATGCCAAGCAGAAATGCTCCCACTGGCCGGTGTGGTTCAGTTGGCTGAGCATCATCCCAGGCACTGAAAGGTCGCTGGTTCAATTCCCCATCAGGGCACATGCCCGGGTTCCGGGCTTGATCCCTGGTGAGGGGTGTGCAGGAGGCAGTCGATTGATGCTATGCTCCCCCATCAATGTTTCTCTCTCTCCCTCTCTCGTCTCTCTCTCTCTAAAAAAATATTAAAAATAAAAAAAGAAATTGTCTGACCTATCTGAACAAGGATTTTCTAAAATTATCCACTCATGCCATTATTTATTAAAATTCACAAATTCCTGCCACCATGATCTAGTTCACTGACCCCTGGCGTGCATATAACACCTTTGAAATAATCCTGTACAAAGCTACCAGCAGCAGGAACATGGAAAGGCATGGGCTATTGTCTTGCCCAAGCACCCTCAGCCCACCCCAGCCCCGGGCAGGGCTGCTCCCTCCACGGCCTTTCCAGGAGGGGTACAGATGCCCTCCTGTCCCAGTGCAGAAACAGACCCCAGATCCAGAGCAGAATGCCCAGGGAGAGGCGAACGCAAACGTCACGTGCTAAACTAGATGCCTTGTGACAGCGTGAGACACACTGGGGCTGTGTTTTGTCTTCAGTGCTTCGAGACACGTGGAGACGCACCAGGCAGCCCGAAGGGCCCCCGTGCTATGAAGGGAAAATGAGTTTATTCAGGCGACGGCAGTTCCCGTCCCGTCCCGAAAGGAGGCTCAGGCAGCAGCAGAAACCCACTTTCGTCAACCAAGAGCAACTTCAGGTCTCTGCCCCAAACAGCGCGCTCCACCAGCCCCCGTGACCAACCAGGGCTCCTCGGCAGGCACTGCACGTGTCTCCCCTTTGCTCTCCATCACCGCCAGAGACGGGCACGCCTCCTCGACCCTGAAACTCACGATCCACACAACCCAGAAGCAGCCCCCCGTGCCGCGGACCCCACAGCCCAGGCAACACCAGAAGGCAGGCCCGAAAGCCCTTCCCATCCCAGCCGAGACTCAGCCCCACAGGCCTGGCTGGGAGCCAGAGACACCCAGACTGCCTGCCCACCGCAGGGGCCTCCCCTTTGTTTACAGAGCTGCCTACCCAGAGGCAGCCACATTTTGGGGACCCCTGCACCACATCTCCTAACTCTTAAGGTAACAACAAAATTAACATTAATGCAGTACCTCTGAGGGTTTTGTTCTTGGTTTGTGAATATCACAAATACCATTTTACAGATAAAAAAAAAAAGAGCCGGGGTTCCAAATGGGTGTCTTACCTGGAGTCCCAGTTTCTTCGTGGTGGCAAAATTGACAACCCTGGGCGTCATTTCTCCTAGACTAGTCCCATCGCCCTGCGGAGCCACCTCCCCCCTCCAGCTGCCCCTCGTCCTGACCACAGGATGGGGGAACAGATCCGGACCGAGACGTCAACCACCCGCTCACGGCCCTGCTGCCGTAACAGGCTCTGGGGCGGGCTCTCTCGGCTCGGACCTCCCACGTGCTTGGCTGCCCAGGCGGGGTGCGTGTGATCTATGGGGGATCACAGCACTGTGCCGGGACAGTGCCGGCCCTGGATTGTCACCACAGCTCCGCACCGGCAGGCACACTCACACACGGCTGTCGGGGAGGAATCGGGCAGGAAGCTGGACAGAATCTGGGAGACGACTGCTGCATCTCTGTCACCAGCCTTCTCTCCACGGTTATTGATCACGGCATTATTTCCACTAGCAGAATCCCAGAAACGATGCCCGTGCCCACTCCTCGTGAGCCGGTTAAGCCACGACGGTGCACCCACGGTGGAGGGCTGCGTGGCCACAGGAAGGAGGTCGCAGAACCCGTATGAGAGGATTTCCAAGGGGCAGTGCTAGCTGAAAAAGCAACACAGTCGTGCCCCCGTGACAACGGGGTTCGCTCTGATGGAGGCGCTCAGGCAGACCTGGATGGGACAGCCTGCTACTCCCCGGGCTGCGCGGTGCAGCCTGTTGTCCTGGGCTACAAGCTGGTACGAGATACGGCACTAAACACAGCAGCAAGTGTAACACATGCGTTTGTGTACCTACACACACCTAAAAGAAAAGATACAGTAAAACTACGGTATAAAAGAGAACAAATGGGCCCGCTCGTGTGGCTCAGTGGTTGAGCATCGACCCACGCACCAAGAGGTCTCGGGTTTGGTTCCCGGTCAGGGCACATGCCCAGGTTGTGGGCCCGATTCCCAGTGAAGGGCATGCAGGAGGCGGCCCATCGATGTTCTCTCTCATCAATATTTCTATCTCTCTCTCCCTCTCTCTTCTCTCTAAAATCAATAAAGAAAACAAATAAAAATAATAAATAAATGTTTTTTAAAAAGTGTTACGAAAAGAAAAGATAATAAATGGCACACCTGTATTGGGCACTTAGCATGCGGGGCTGGAGGACGCTCTGGGTGAGGCAGGGAGTGAGTGGTGGGTGAAGGGGAAGGCCACGGACAGCCCTGGACACAACTGCGGGCTTATGAACACTGCACCCTTGGGCAGTGCTACCGTTACGAAACACCAGACGAAATCGAGCCCGAGAGAAAATGATGCAACCGTGAGCTGCCGAAAACGCGAGATGCACGAGGCTACCCCGGAGACAACACGGCAGATTGCCTCACAGTCGTTCCTTTAATAGGCAGAGAGCACACTCTGCCACGACAATAAAAAGGGCAGCATAGTAAACACATAAAACAAAGCACAGACCCTCGAGCTCATTAACGAGTATTCTGCACGGCCCGCAATTGCATGCCATCGACCGTCACAGCCCGGCAGTGCAGTAGGTGTGTGCCCACCAGCATCACACCGACCTGTGAGCAATGCATTGTTACAATGTGACCATGGCTCCGGCGCTGAGCAATGGAAGGTTCTGGGCTCCATCGTAATCTCATGGGGCCACTGCCGAACGTGCAGACTGTCACTGAAGCACCGAGGACGCATCACTGTACAGGCAGCCCTCGGAGGTGTCACCGGCTCTGTCCCACCACCATAAAACGGGTTCACAGTAAAGCAACAAACGTGCACTTTTTGGTTCCGTAGTGCATGTAAAAGTTATGTTGACACTGCACTGTAGTCTATTAAGTGTGCAATAGCATTGCGGCTGAAAAACATATACCTTAGTGAAACCATGCTTTATTGCCCCGATGTGCTAACCACCATCTGAGTCTTTAGTGAGTCCTCATCTTCCTGCCGGTGGGGGGTCTCGCCTCCATGTCAGTGGCTGTGGACTGATCGGTGTGGTAGCTGAAGGCTGGGGTAACTGTGGCAATTTCTTAGAATAAGACAACAGTGAGGTCTGCCGCACCAATGGACTCCTCTCTGTAGCATGTGCTACCGTTTGATAGCATTTCACTGATAATAGAATTTCTTTCAAAACTAGAGTCTATCTCTTCAAACCTTGCTGCTGCTTTATCAACCTAATGCACACGATATTCTAAACCCTTGGTTGTCTTTTCAATGATCTTCACAGTCTCTTCAGCAGGGGTAGATTCCACATCAAGAAACCACGTTCTTGGCTCATCCGTACGGAGCAACTCCTCATCCGTTCAAGTTCCCTCTCGAGATGGCAGCAGCTCGGACCCAGACGGCAGCATCAGGCCCCGCTTCTGTCTGATTCCAGTTCCTGCTGTTTCCACATCGGCAGTCACGTCCCCCGCTGACGGCCGGACCCCCCAACGTCGTGCCTGAGGGTCGGGATCACCTTCTCCCAAGCTCCTGTCGATGTTGAGAGTCTGACCTCTTCCCACGAACCACACTTGTTGTCACCAGCATCTAGAATGGTGTGTCCCTTCCAGAAAGGCCCAGCAGAGGAATCAGTCTCGGGACAAATGTTTTCCTGGGCTCGTTCTCCTGTGACACCCTCTCTTCTAAGGAGAAGCCATGTTTCCAAGCCTCTTGAGGACAGAGATTCTAAATATGTGGTATCTTACATGTATCGTGTGGTAGTTTTCCAAAACTCCCTAAATAGAGCAAACCCATCTCCAAAAAAAAAAAAAAAATGTTTCAAATGTGAATGAGAAAAAAAATCAATGTCGGGGTTTTATGCCCACCCCTAAAAGTAGCTCTGCCTACTCTGCAAAGATGATCACCATGGTTTCTTAAGAACTGCCCAGCTACTGAAAAAGAAAATGTATTTCTTAGGAGAGGTCATTTCAGGGGCTTCCTGTTACCCCGCCCCCACCCCCCAGCATCCTCAGTAACCAGGGCACTGTCCAGGGTTCTGGGTGAACCGCAGCCCCTCAATGAGCTCATAATGTGTATCATGGAAGCAATAATAAACACAGCCATCTCTTTA